AGTTAGTGATGGTAACATATGTTTTTTTGGACTGGTTTCACCTGTACCCGACTCCCGACCCGTTTTAGCCATACACGACCCGAACCATATTGTTCAATGTTGTCATATTACATGAATGTTTGTTTCTTGCATTGGACATTGGCATATTGTTGTGTGGAAAATGGAAGTTTTTGGAATATTTGGGAATTAAACCAAGAAAAATATGTGATTGACGTAAATTCTTGTGTGAGGAAGCATAACAACAATGTGAGTTTGAATAGTAATATTATAGTAACGAAAATGCATATACTTATAATATGGAATGTCATATTTTTTTTTATATTAAATGTTAAAGTAAGATGTTTTTTTAATGAAAATATGTCTTATTCGACCTGGCAGAACACCTTTGGATATAAATAAATGGTTGAGTTAGAAGATGAAATGACAATTGATGAGACATTGCACACGATTTGTTGGGATTCGCCATCACACACTATTTTTCCTTATTTTCACTTGTCAACAAATACAGTGAAATTCCTTTGATTTCTTCTAAACATATCCAACATGGATATATATCAAATCTTATTAAATGGATGCAACATAAAATAAGTATTCTAAAAACTTTTCTATTTCATACTACCTATCTTGTCATTCAAAAAAATCTATAGAACCGATTTTAGATAGATCTAGTGTTAAACCACCATACTTTTTTCGATAGATATATATATTTATATACTTTAAATAATTATATATTCAAATATTAATACTTAAAAAATATACCAAAAAAAGGTTGACATTTCTCAATGCATATATCTACATATATAATATATTGCATTTGTCGAAAGAATATTGATCAGCCTACAGTTAAAAGTTTTAACCATCCAAACAATTGATATTTTGGAAGATTTAACCAGATTTTTATGGGTTCTGATTTGCGTGCAACTCAATAAAAGCTAGCCCACAATAAACAGAAAATAAGATGTAGACAACAAAACAACTCATTTCCAGCCAAAAGTGAAGAAAATGATTAAAATCAGTAGGGCCCTTGAGACCATAATATGTAAATATGTTCTTCCATGCAGACAACCATTCTCACTGTGCACAAGTCAGTTCGTAGTCAGCTCAACAGGAAACGAACAATTATAAATGATACGTAGAAAGAATGATTTTAATTTTACGTCGTCTTCTTTTTAATATAACATTTTTTTCCAGACATTATCATATCTTTGATTGGATTTCAATTATCGCACGTAAGTATTGATCTAATGGTAAAATTAAAAAATCCGATATGCAGTCACCTTCTAGTTGCAAGGAATTAAGTTAGAAAGAATTTAAGAAATATATTTGTATTTAACACAATGAGAAAAGAATT